AGACTTTTCTATTTTAATCAAACATTGACTGGAACTCCATATTCCCTATCATTACCTCATTGTCACAATCAGTTTGACTGTAATTACGATGAATACGTTAAATCAACTCAACATTTAATTTATGATGACTTTGATGCCGAATGTAAAGCCCAGGGCCAATGAATTTCGGGTACAAAATATTTATTTTATTGAAAATATAACATAAAGTTTATGTCATAAACATTTATCTGTACTAACACCCTTTACTTTCACCTGTAAAACCTGTTTAATGTAATAGTTTTATACATCTACACCCGAAATTCATTGGCACTAGTAATGCCTAAGTGAGTTAAATATATTTTATATTAATATAAATTATATAATATTTATATAAATATCTATAAAACAAATGCAATTCTTATTATTGTAAATGTTTTATATAATAAATTAATTGATGAGTTTTTAAATTTAATAATTGGGTAAGCCTAAAACCATTTAAAGGTTTTTGCTATGTAGCGTTTACTGTATATGAAATATTTATTAAACTTATTCATTATAAATGTATGATAGAAGTTTAATAAATATTTCATATACAGTAAACGCTACATAGCAAAAACCTTTAAATGGTTTTAGGCTTACACAATTATTAAATGCTTATATATTTAATAAATTACTTTAAAATTAGTTAAATTAAAGATTTAAATTAAATATTTAAAAATATTTTGATATTTATTTATAAGTATAATATACTGCAATTATTAATAGTTGCTTCAAGATTATAATGGTTCCTGCAAACTATTAATGCACTTTGCAAATACGGATTTCGTTTTATCATATCTATATCATAATGTATATTGTACAGTATATGAAAATAATTTATACATTGCTTAATTGATAAACATACACAGTAACTTATACTGTATTTTGTACCATTTAATCAATAAATGCTCCTTTTAAAACAATTGATTAAATATTTCGCACTATTATATCAATATTTATCATATACACTAAATTATTTTATTTTTATGGTTAGGGTTGCAGAATTTATTAAATATTACCAGTAAGTTGATATTTTATGTGTTAAACTTTAATAATTTTATTTATTTATTATGAATTAATGAATATGAATTGATAAATTTATTATGAAATACCTCAAAGTCAGGGTGGCAAAATTGATAAACTTAAACTTACAGAATTATATATTTACATACAATATATTTAAAATTATAGTTTAATAACATTAAATTACTAAATATAGTATAATATACTAAATACTGTTATAATTTTTCATAAACATTTTACTGTACTTATAAACCAATAGCAATAATTAGAAATTAAGTTTATTTTTCCCAAAGCAAAATATTTAATTTTAACAGATATTTAGCCACTTACAACCATATTTATATTTAATTTAAGATGTGCCAATTTAAAAATCTAATCTTATTTAATTTAATTCACTGCAAGTTATTGTTAATTCGTATTAATTATGATAATAAAAATATCGCAATATTATATAAAAAGGCTTAACAAATAAACACAGTATTAAAGTTAAAAAAAATAGCTTGTTTCTTTAACAAAATGTGGATAGTTTTCATTGCATTTTACATATTGGGTATATGTATGCTTTCAAGTGAGGCATCGGACCGGTGGCCAAACCACGACATATCGACTCTTAAATTGTTGCAAATAGTTCAACGCCATGGAGACCGAAGTCCAAGCGACTTCCCACCTAATGATCCCTTCGGTGATGACAAGTATTGGCCCGAAGGACAGGGATATCTGACAAGTACTGGGATGTATAGGTTGTATAAAGTGGGCGAATTCATACGACAAGAGTATAACGGCTTTTTGGGCGACAAATACTCGCCCCGAGAGGTGTACGCCAGGAGTTCTGCGGCCGAGAGGTGTATTCAAAGTATAGCCAACCTATTAGCCGGTGCTTATCCACCAAAAGCACCGGATATGCAATGGAATAGAGGAGTGGACGCATCATTGGGTCGGTTATGGCAACCCATTCCCATCAATACAGTGTTGGATAAAAAGGAGGACCTATTGTTAGATGAGGTGAACCATTAAATAAAATTAATGTTTTATTACCAATAGATATTTATTATATCCATCATTAACCATAAACAATTATAAGTTATAATTGATAGCATATTAATATCAATATTACTGTATTTATTAAGTTTTTTAACCCAAATAGAAAGCTGACTGTCCGGCAATAGACAATGAAATGGATAGAGTGTACAACACAACTGTTATTAAGAAGTTTTTGGAGGATAATAAAGATTTTTATAAGAAATTCAGTGAAATTGTGGGCCAAACATCACAGACATCGAGTCGGCGACCGATTTATATAAATCTCTGAGTGAAGAGGTAGAGAACAACCGCTTCTGGAATACGAGTAAATGGTCAGTGGATATGGAGAAGCAAATGGTGGACCAGTTGTCCAAAACACAACTCATGCAAATGAAGTACTTATACGGCAGTCCTGTAGTCATGCGGTTGAGGTCCGGAGGTTTGGTGGAGGAGTTGAATAAGAATTTTAATAAAGTGCTCAAACATAAGAAGGAGCAAGTTAAATTATATGCCTATTCAACACATCATGAACTGGTGGGTGCTCTCATGCATGTCCTCAATGTCTACAATGATGTCAACCCTCCATACGGCGCTTCCCTACTGTTTGAGTTGCACCAGAATAAGTCCAATAAAGCCGATTATTTCGTAAGACTTTTCTATCACAACGAGACACTCACTGGAACTCCATATCCCCTATCGTTCCCCAATTGCGGCCATCAGTTTGACTGTCATTTCGATGAATATATTAATTCAACACAATATGTTATTTATGATGACTTTGACAAAGAATGCAATGATATTTAACTGAGTTTAAGTTTGAATTTAATTATGTCTTTGTTGATTATTTATCATAATATAAATTTTATTTAAATATTGAATTGTAAAATTTTGTGGAATTAAATTAATAATTATTTGTATTTAAAATTATATGATAAATATGTAAATAAATTAAATTGTTTAATAATTAAGAATTTGAATTTCAATTATTTTAATATTAATAATTTTATAATTAGCGTAAATATTAAGCATTATAACAAATCATAACTAGACAGTACAGCCTATAGTGAAACTTTCATTGAGAAAGGTATATTAAAATGTTATTGTATTAGGACACTTTTATACAGATAAGAAAAATATACAAAGTATTGATAATTGATTAAATGCTCAAGGTTGTTAAATGTAATATAAAATATTAAGTTTATACTGTATAAGATATTTCAAGCTCTAGTATAAAAAATACTAAAAATATAAAATTTATTTTTAATTCCACAATTTAAAAATAGCTTAATTTTTATTATTATAAATGTCTTATTAAAGAACTACATTGACTACAATATTAATATTATTTATATTTATAAATACTTTTATTCAATATCTTATTTAATAGTAGTTTTAAATGTCAAATTATATCTAATTATAGTTATTATCAATTTTATTGCGATAATTATTAAAGTAAGAGTATACTATAAGAATTAATGTTAAATACATTTAAAATAAGATTTCATTATTTTCCAGTTGATATATCTCGAAAAATGCATAAAACTTTAATTTATATATTTTGTGTTTATTTTATTTCAATTGAAGCATCGGATCAATGGCCAGATCACGACATCTCAACACTAAAACTCTTGCAAATAGTGAACAGACACGGAGACCGCACTCCTGGCTATTTTTCTCACAATGACCCCTATCAGGACCCCAAGTATTGGGTGGAGGGTTTGGGCGAACTGACCACTAAAGGCAAGTATCGGATGTATAAGTTGGGAGAATTCATACGACAAGAGTATAGCGACTATTTGGGCGACAAATACTCGCCCCGAGAGGTGTACGCCAGGAGTTCAATAATAGATCGGTGCATAGAAAGTGCTGCCAATATATTAGCCGGTGCCTATCCACCCAAACAAAAGGAGTGGCAGTGGGGCAATGAGACCGACGCCAAGTTAGGTCAGGTGTGGCAACCATTTCCTATTCAAACATTTATGCCCATCGATGACGACAACGTCTGTAATGTAAGACTTCATACAAAATATTTGACAATTCCATGTATTATATATACATTTAAAATGATTTTAAGTCTAAACATTGTTTGGCTGTCGACTTGGAGAGACTGAGAATCTTTAACCAGACATTCATCAAGGAGAAATTTGCTACATATAGTGAACTGTTCAAGAATTTGAGTGAAATAGTAGGTCAACCTATTGAGAGTCCATACGATGCGACCCTTTTGAACGACGCCCTTAGCATTGAATTGTCGGACAATTATATTTGGCAAAAGACGTGGACTAAGGAGCAACAGAAGCATATTGTGGACCAGTTGTCGGAGTTGACCCTCTTTTCCTTCCGATACTATTGGGACAGTCGTGTCATCCATAAGCTAGAAGCCGGCGGTTTAATCCGAGAATTAAATAACAATTTTAAAAGTGTCACCAATAGGACCAATACTAAAAAGATATACCTGTATTCAACACACGACACACATGTCGCTGCACTCATGTATGCCCTGAACATATGCAACGACCAAATGGTGCCCTTCGGAGCCACTCTTTTCTTTGAATTACACCAAAACCCGAAAACCTTTGATTATTTCGTAAAAGTTTTCTATAAAAACGAGACAATCGTTGGCACAGAAAATCCTCATTCACTTGAATGGCGTGATTGTGGCTCTAAGACTGACTGTCCGCTCAATGATTACATGGATTTGACTAAAGGGTTAGTGTTTGAAGATAAAGACTTTGACAAAGAATGCAATCAATTATTAGATTAATAATTATTTGTATCGTAATAATTAAATAAATATTATTTTAATCTGGAATTACTACTACAGTATACTATATTTTATGTAATTTAATATTTTCAAATAAAATACAATATAAATGATTATGCAAATACAAATTGTGATTAATTATTTTAAAATTAAAAGATAATAAAAGTAAATATATTTAAGGCAAGTAAGTGGTGTTGGCTGCCAACCAGCCACCGTCCACCACAAAGTTAGATCCCCTCACATACGATGCCTCATCGCTACACAAATACATGACAGCGTATCCGATCTCAGATGGTTTAGCGGGCTGTCCATGAGGTGTGGCCGCACCTAACGCTGCAAATGTTGCGTCCGATTGTTGCTGTGTTAGGCCCGCGTGTATCAAACCCTCGGTCTTAACGGCACCACAACTGTCATCAAAATTATGTTTAGAAATAGTTTTCATAATAAATATGTGATTGAAATACAAATACATTATAGAAATTGTTGCTGTGTTAGGCCCGCGTGTATCAAACCCTCGGTCTTAACGGCACCACAACTGTCATCAAAATTATGTTTAGAAATAGTTTTCATAATAAATATGTGATTGAAATATAAATACATTATAGAATTGACACGAATTCCTTTGTCGGCCAACTCTACGGCAATACTTTTTGTGAACATATCGACCGCCACTTTAGTCATACTATAGGCAGACATCCCACGGCTCTAATTATAACAAATTAATTATATTTATATTATAATATTGATAGTAATATCATTTTATAATTATAAACATACCGTTTGCGCGGATTTAACGCCCGAAATATTAATTATAATTCCTTTGGTTTTCTCCAAATGAGTGACAGAATAATGAGTCATATAGACCACAGAATCGAGATTAGTGTTCAGGTTCCATTTATAATTCTCCAAGTAATTGTCATCGTAGACATTACTGGATTTAGTAGCGCCGACATTATTCACCAGAATATCAAGTTTTCCAAACTCTTTAACCGTTGAAGCGATGAGTCGTTTGCAGTCATCCTCTTTGCAAACGTCTGCCACCACTTCCAGAGGTTTGAGTCGTTTGGGCGACACTTCCGCACACTCTTTGGCCACTCGACTGATATTCTGTTGATTACGTCCCGTCACCACTACCTGTGCCCCACATTTCGAGAATAGCAGTGCTGTGGCCGCACCGATACCTGAACTCGAGCCCGTCACCAATACTACCTTAGCCACCACTTCCAGAGGTTTGAGTCGTTTGGGCGACACTTCCGCACACTCTTTGGCCACTCGACTGATATTCTGTTGATTACGTCCCGTCACCACTACCTGTGCCCCACATTTCGAGAATAGCAGTGTTGTGGCCGCACCGATACCTGAACTCGAGCCCGTCACCAATACTACCTTTCCCGTGAAATCAAATGACATGGACATTATATTTGAATTGATATTGTTTTTGAGTTTTCAAACTTAAGCAAAACTTTTTATTAATTTTTTGTTCAACATATGCTTTATATGTATTATCATATGTACTTTATATGTACTTTAAAGTGATTGAAACGATATATTAATACAAGTGATGCAAACTTAAGGACATTTCTAACATAGCGTCAGAATAGTTTACAATAACTTTTAATTTGAAGGTCTTTCCGTTACTGATGCACCTGAATCTGATCCAGTACATGTTATTACCTGGAGCCCAATTAAGAAATGCAGTTATGAAGTTTACAATAACTTTTAATTTGAAGGTCTTTCCGTTACTGATGCACCTGAATCTGATCCAGTACATGTTATTACCTGGAGTCCAATTAAGAAATGCAGTTATGTAATTATATTTACTATTTATTTGCAAATAAATTAAGTATAAGAATTTTAATATGTTTATAGATATTAATTTATAAATTATAATATAATCAAATGTTTTCTAATACTTGATTTAATTATTGTATTAATAAAAGTCTTTTACTGTTAAACAGTAAATATCATTATATCACTGTATTTCTAAAGTGGACTATAATTGTATTGCAGGTAATTGTATACAATGAAGTACATCAGTAACAAAGTGACCTTCAATCATTCAATTATTCAATCATTATAGACTTAACTGCCTTAGAGATCATACACCTGTATGTTTGCATTACATGTAGTCATATAAAAGTGTATTTCTTTAAAAATATTTAAACTCATGTAATGTTTTACTTTTAAAAACAATAAGTTTAGATATTACTACTAACATATGGCATTATTCATGCAGGCTATGAATATATTCAATGATAAATTGTTACCATTTGGTGCTACAATTTTCATTGAATTACACCACAGGAAAGTCTATAATAATAACGATACCAACAATTATTTTGTGCGATACTTCTATCACAACGAGACTGTAGTGAACACGGGAACACCTTATTCAATACAATTTAATAATTG